AAATTTGCCAAAAAGTATGCCAGCACATAATGCTAGATGCTAAAGGAATTTAAATTATGCCAGATAGCATAATTACGCCAGGTCTGGTGCTATGCCGCCGACCGCAGAAAAACCTGTCGCTCCACTGATGACTCGGGCGTGCAAGTTTGCTGGCCAAAATAATTATTCTGATGAATATTTAAATGATATTACTGGTGACTGGTGAATTTAGTCCAGGGGTTCTCAACAAGCCGAAATAATATTTTTCGTTAGGTTCGGGCCTAGATTTAATAATTTTGCATTCTGATTTGCCGACTAGGCCTATATATTGCCCCAAAAATTGTAGCGATTTAAACAATCAAATCGGAAGAACTTCCCAGCAAACAGCAAATGAATATTGTACTGTATTACCGATGACCCATTTTGTGACATATAACAATTTGACTTCTGCATTATCAAACACAAGGGTAACTTTCTTATGTCAAGATGTCCCGTATGAGCGTCTAACAGTTTATTATTTTCAAAAAATGTCTAATAGGAAATAGTACATGTGGCCTTCAATTTTATTCAATGAACAATTTTGACCCCTTTTGCGATATAGTTGAGAACTCCTGATTTAGTCTTTACCTCATAATACGCTAAGCATCGTTTCAATGGCGCCCTCAACATAACAATAAAGTTTGAATACAGCTAAGTTGAAACTCTTAAAGTGAAATATATCTCAAACGGTAAAGTGGGAAAAAATGGAGTACCGTAAATGCTCGAATTTAGCGCCGCTCTCGAATAAGCGCTGCACCAATAATAATAATAATAATAATAATAATAATAATAATAATAATCTATATTATAATTATGCTTCCAAAGCCTAAAGGCACAGTGATAAGCAAAGTGGTGTATTTCCTCATTCCGTGTGTGTTTTTATATTGAACTCCAAAAGAGCAACATTCAACGAATGCAAGCACTATTTCAAAAAGAAACCCATACTACCTGGATAATTTCATAGAGTGTGGGACTCTTAAAATCGTTTAAAGCCATTATTACTTGTTCCCCCTCTCCAAACCTCCTACGCCCTCTTCACACCTGTACCCCCCTCCCCCCACCCACACCGGCGGGCGGGAAAATCGGACCTCCTATCGGGTAAATCCTGGCGCCATCACATGACAGAATTGGCAATGATATTGTATTCAAATAACCACTAAAATGTACATTTGGCATAATCTACCATAAGTTCCCATCAGCCTTTGGCATAATTTAATTAGCATCACTCGTCAAACTTGTTAGAAACAAGAGCAGGCACTCAACATCGCGCGATCGACTCTCGAGTAGATTAATTGTTCATTCATGTTCATTCATGTTTACCATTTAGGCATGGTTTAGGTCTATGAAATTTTACCGACTACCTACATGGGATGTACGTACGTCATCAAATCTGTCTCATTTATGTTATTGTAGTATTACTATTTCCTTCTATGGATAAGTGAGGTAATAAAGGGCCTAGATAAAGAGAAAAAATCACGTTTGATGCGGTACTTATTAGAGAGCGGCGCTTATTCGAGGATTTACGGTAGGCTTTTAGGTTTGTGTTGGCCACGTTAATCGTCCGATGCGAATTTAAAGCTACAGATTTATCAAATTATTTGTTGACGCCCCCTAGTTGATCTTCAAGTCAAGTCAATCCGAGACGGGCCGAGCGGAGTTTCATGTAGAAGCCAAGTACAGTAAAAGAAATCTTTCCGGCCGGCCGCAAATTTCGTAGGATGGTGAAGCAAAATCACATGAATTATTCATCATCACCCTTAAAGAACATTATTTGCGCATGCGCTATTTCCAAGTCTATATAAGATTTATGCCTGGTAACAATAGGCTGCTCTGTATGTACATTGCGATGAGACCTATGTTATGTCCCACTGCGAATTCAACCCTTTCACGGGCCTTGTATTTGAATCAATACAAAAATAAAACAAGTGATTGTTTGACTCAGTAGATTCAGAATGTTAACATTAATAGAAGTTTAAAGTTGATTAAAAAACACCACTGTGTAAGCGAATATAGGCGTATACTTCGCTCGAGGCCATTGCAGTAGTCCACTGGCGCCACAACGCGAAGTACAGTATTCATCTGTCATAATTGATCATCCGTCATGCAATATCATAGGCATAAAAACAAATCGTATTGCTCAAGCCCAACCTATCGGCAAAATCAGAGTCGGCAGGTTTTATAATTTAAATTTTATATAATAATAATTTTTAAAAACGCATGTATGGAACGAGTTTGTGAGATAATTGATGCGTTGTAAGTGAATAAAATTGTGAAATTGCCTTGTTTTCTTGTTGCAAAATAAATGCTGAGAAACATATGATGTGCGTGTGAGGCAACAACATTGATATCTTTTTGCCTATAAAATGACAGACACTAAGTTGAAATTGTCTCATTCTCTCAAACAGTTTTCTGCGATCACTATTCACATGATAGGCCTGTACTAAAGTTTTGTCTTCATATAAATGATGTAGTCGTATCTAAATTTTTATTCGTATCAGCATAGAGCTTAGTCTTAGCTTACACAGTGGAGTTTTATTAATATCGTACTTTAATTGAATAACTATTAGTATTTTGTATTTTCAGACTGACAGTAATATAAAAGTATTCAAAGTATCAGAATCTACTATTAATCACTTGGTTTATTTTCGAATTGATTCAAACACAAGACCCATGCAAGGGCTGAATTCCGAGGTCATAATAGTTCTACACCGGCGGAACGTTTTTCAAAGTGGGGGACCCACTAGTAAGATGAATGGGAATATGAATGGGTCCAAATTTAGGGGATGAGGGCCAAATTTTTTCCCAAGAACCCCATAAAAGAAGGGAGCCCGGGAAAATTGTGATTCCTAGATGGCGGAAATTGAGATTTCCCGACTTTAAGGTAGATGCCTTTTAATGACTTGAGGACTTCAAAGTCCTTTAAAATTCAAGGTTTTCCCCTCTTGAAGACGATTCCATGAATCCGTAAATCCCAAAAAGAAAGGAGGTTCGGATTCTCCCCGAGAAAATGTTGGTTTCTAAATAGTGGGAAATGAGCTTCCCGACTTCTGAAGTGTCTTTTAATGACTTTAAAGTTGTTCAAAATTCAAGGTTTTCTCCTCTTGAAAACGGTCTGGTAAATTTTTCTCATTCTTATTACAGTATATAGGCCTTATGTGTGTATCATTAAAAAAAATTGAGTAATTGCATAGGCATACGTATTCTTATTACATGAATCAATAAATCACAAAGAGAAAGGGGGGTCCGGGGGAAAATTTTGATTCCCGCATTCTGAGGTGTCTTTTAATGAATGACTTTTAAGTTCTTTAAAATTCAAGGTTTTCCCCTCTTGAAAACGGTCAGGTAAATATTTCTCATTCTTATTTTATGTGTGTATATAAAACGATTGCATCAATCAATGAACCACAAAGAGAAAGGCGGGTTCGGATTCTCCCCGGAAAAATGTTGATTTCTAAATGGCGGGAAATGAGCTTCCCGACTTCTAATTATTTTGTATTCAAGATCTTTATTCTTTATTCAGATAAAAATATAAATTAAAAATTACAAACAAACAGCCAAAAGACTGTACCGGTATATGAATGTATTACAATAATTGTTAAAAAATTTAAAAACAGAACAAGATTCAAGAAATACACAACACAAACATAAAAAAGAAACAATGGATAAAAAGCACAGCATCAGACATAAGGCCAAATTAAAATGATAAAAACGGAAGATATAAAAGGGGCATATAAAAAACACATTAATTAAAAATTTAATTAAATTTTCTTATTAACAAAAAAAAAATTCAGCTCACGGGTCCTGAAAAGGTGGGTCTAGAATTATTTTTATTTTTCTTTTATTTTTTGCCTCAAGGGAGGGGGGTCAGGACCCCTGATCCCCCAGATCCACCAATATGAATTGCGAGAAAATCTAACTCGGTCGGGCCGGACTGGATAAACACTCTCTTTCCCTCCCTCTCAAAAAAAACAAAACACACACACACACACACACAAAAGTGTTCGAAGAGGCGAAGCTCCCGAAACATATGACAATTTAGGGGGATTTCAAGGTCTTATTTAATCGATTTTGGAGTCTACTAAGGAAAATATATAGGCCTATACATTTTTTTCTCCCCGACAAATATATATGTATATATATATATATATATATATATACTGTC